GGAAGGTCGAAACAGTGTGAATGTGGAGGTGTCATGTAATTACAAAGATATAATAGGTGCATTGATGGATTCTTTTACAGGTCGGCATAACATCTTGGAAAATAAACAGACTGACTCAAGTACTTGGCGGAGTTGGCGTCATTGTTCATGTGGATGGTATTGTGCTGATAAAAAAATATATATAATCGAGGGGGATTGAGTGCGAATCAGCAGTGGGTGTTGGGGATATATGACACTACCCTCCACAAAAGATACATTGAGGCGATCCCTAATCACAGTGCAAATGTCTTATTGCCTATTATCCAACGCTTAGTGATGCCTGGAACAACTATCCATACAGATGAATGGAGCTGTTGTAGTCAGCTATCAACCCTGGGCTACATTCATCATGTCCATGCTGAAAATTCCATACCTGTACCAAAAGATACGGTGTGGAATGAAGCTGTAATAAAAATAAAAATAAATGTCGTCAACCATTCAAATGATTTCATCAATCCTTTCGATGGAACTCACACTAATTCTATCGAAAATTTTTGGAGTCACCCCAAAAGAAGGATCAGATCTGTGAATGGATCAAGAAATGCTACGATACACATTTATCTCGATGAGTTTATGTACAGGGCTTGGTTTAACATAACTATGAAGACTCCTATGAGAAATTAGGGGGTTTTGTTGGAACATATACAAGAACGTTATCCTTTGTAACTATTTTTTAACATTGCATTTCTTTTACACAAACATTTTATTGAAATTTGACGCCGTTTCTATAGAGGCTTCTGATTGGTCAAAGTTGCCGTTGTCAAGGTCATCTATCCGTTCGCTAGGTAGTTTCGGTTTGGGCTGCTTTAGCTTAGAGTCATCTATCAGTTATTATTTAATCCAAATTGGACTTTCTCACTGATTGATTGAACAGAAGTGCTCGGCATCAGACGATGTCTGATTATTTATCTCAAAGCAAAATGGTGGACAGTGACTAACACTGGAATTCAGAATGACTATTTCGTCCTATTTGGGACTCGTCAGTCAAGGGGAGAATCGAAATTGGATTAGATAATAACCGATACACATTCCACAAGAAATAGGTGGCTCTCGTCACCCAAGTTGTCTAGTGCATAGCTCTTTGGCGCTTGAAACTACGGGTATTTGGTTCGAGCCCCGGTGAGAATACCATCACTTACTGGGAAATGTAGGCACATCCAGCTAGCTGACGAGTCCCAGACAGGACGAAATGCGCATCCTGGTGGAATCCACTGCTATTCACTATCCACCAAATTGCTTCAAGTTAATCTCGGGACATCGTCGAAGCATCCGCACAAGGAGCCGACATGTCAACCCAGGTCAAACATTTCGGTCCGACCAATCAATTGGAAAGTCGAAACACTGCTCAATTCGCATCATTCATATGAGTTAAATAATTTTTTGTTAAATAACTGTTTATAAATATTGGAGAAGGTTCATATCTAAAGTAGTTTGATGATTTCAGTGAGTGTGCATGGTGTGTGTGTTTGCGTTCGTTCTCTGATCTGGATGATTTAACCGTGAAGTATTCAATGTCTTCCTTGACAACATCCTCAGTGCTAACTTCAATATTAAATGAATATTTAATATTCGTTTTGAGTGTAATAGCCGTCAAGGATCGTCAACAACCACACACTTCACGAGATACCGATGATCAGATGGCCAGCCGGATAGAAACGATAAACAAGAAAGAACTCTAGTAGGCAACAAACCAGTCAATAACTCCACTGCCCAAAAAATATTCAGAAAACGGAAAGATCGAGCGAAGAAATATGCACTTTTCAATTAGATCCTCATCTCTCTCTGGCTCTACTCTAATATATTATGTATAGCATTTTTATTACAATACACAACAGTTTACCAATCAAGTGGCGATATGTTTGTTAACAATAATTGCCTCCTCTATTTGTATCTACCAGTTTGACTGTAGTTGCGGAGCCAGCTACTTCGAGTGTACAATTAGGCAGGTTCATAATCGTATCTTTCCGAACATCATCCAGCATGATTAAGCAGCAAGGGACAAACAAGATCTGTTCATAGCTCTATTTTAGCATATCTTGTAGATAGTGAGCATAAGGTTGACGGTAATGCTGCATTTAAAATTATTTATCGCATTCCGACTCATCTTAATTTTGCTCTACGAGTTCGTCTTCTACATACAACAGCTGAAGCAATAGGAATCCACCTGAAGAAGCCAGCCAAACCTGTGTGTTCAGAATAAATTTGTACAGCCACTTTCCTTACCGTGGCCATCTCTAGAAGAATTCATAAACAGGACAACTTCGCACCCCCCCTTCCCCTAAACCTTTAAGAATTATAAAAATTTTAATTGTCCAAATTATTTTATTATTTTCTCTGACTACTTCATCTTTAATAACATGTTATCCTTGTAAAATTATTTCATTCTCATGACCACTTCATCCTTAATTACAAGTTATCACTGACCAAATCGTTTTATTTTCCTTAACAATCTGTTGCGTAATCAACCTGTGCACACGCTTACTCCTTAATTACTCTTCATCGTTTCCAAAATTATGCATTATGCAATCAACATGTTGTAATCATTTCTACATTTTAATTGTGTATATTAATTTTCTTCGTTAATTATCACCCCATTGACATGTTGACACTAACTAATTATTGTTAACAAACACATCGCCACTTGGTTGGTAAACTTCTGTGTATTGTAATAAAAATGCTATACGTGTATATTAGAGTAGAGCCAGAGAGAGATGAGGATCTAATTGAAAAGTAAATATTTCTTCGCTCAATCTTTCTGTTTTCTAAATGTCTAAATGGGGATTTTTCTACATTGAAATATTCAGAAGAAAGTGGAGACGATTAGAACATACATTGAAGAGATCATTGAGTGACATCTTTCACCAGGCTCTTGAATCTAACCGAAAGCACGAAACGAAGAGTGGGGTGTGGATATGAGTGTGACACAGCGCAAGATCATATCAACAGTAGATGAAAGTTTATAGGCAGGCATTGAGCCAGTCAAAAGAGCTGACGCAGATCCAAGTGCAGTGAAGATGCATCACTGAAGCCCTACATTTCAGCTGGAAAGCATGGTACGAATAATTATCATAATAAAGTAAAAGGCATTCAGTCATTCCATTTCTATTTTATGACACAGCCCAACAGAGGAATAATTATTAGGATAATCCCTTCTGAATGATCAAATTACAATATTTATACTTATTATTACCATATTATTATCTCTTCTTCTCCTAGGCTGTATATCACTGTACTGATATATCTGAATATCAAACGTAGACTTCATCCTTCTTACTTGGTTTTCTTCCTGTTTAATCTCTAATTTAAGTGCTTCTCTTTGTGGTTGTATGATGAATTGAGTATGTGAGGATGTTTTACGACTGCAATTTGTTTAAATGAATGAAGGTGATTTGATATCGGATTGTCTGAGGGACACTGTGAAAGTGTCATCCACATATCTCCAGCATATTTTTGGAGTACGATTAAATGTATTAAATTCCACGGCAAAATATTTAGACAAACAGAAGGTGTAGCAATAGAATGGATGTTCACCAATATCCCCTATCGTAGCAGATATTTTTATGGACAGCTGGGAGAATATTGCTCTTAATATATTTAATCCCACTCCAGAAATATGGTGCAGATATGCGGATGACACATTCACAGTGTTAAAAACAGAAAATATCTCTAGCTTCTTGACACATATAAACTCACCAGTAAAGGTAATACAATTCACATTTGAATCCGAAAATGAACAAGGAGAATTAGCTGGTGTAACATTGTAAAATAAAACGAATACAAGAGGGTAAACTGCACACTAGAGTTTATAAAAAAACAAACGCATTCTGCTAGTAAGTATTTAGACTTTAATTCATCTCTTCCGTTATCTGTCTGTGCAGGCAAGCTTAGTTAAGTATCTAACAAACCGAGCAGTAGCACTAGTTAGTTCAAGAAAAGACCTAAATGATGAAATAAAACAGAAAGAAGAGGCGTTGGTGTTAAGTAACTAACTATCCTATTGAATTCATTAGAAAGATAGTAAAAGGCCAAAAGCAAAATAAAAATAATTGTGAAACTAATAATGATAACATAAATAAGAGAGAATACAAGGCATCTACTGTTATAACATATAAGAAGGGGACATCTGAGACTCTCCCTACGTAGGATTCCTAATAAAGTAGGAATTAGGATGGCATTCAAACCTACAAATTCACTCAGGTAGGACAAGCTCTGTAGGCTAAAACACCCGGTGGACCCGATTAAACAAAATAATATAATTTACAAAATACCCCGCAATGACTGTGAGTTAAGTCAACTACATAGGTCGAACTAGTAGATCGGGCGGGATATTTAGATTGTCGGAACATAAGAATTTAGCTAAGGTTAGAATGGTTGATCTCACTCACGAAGATAAGTAATTTAGATAAGGCTCAGTGATTGCACTGATTACACAACCGCATAATAGCGTGAATGGGAGAGGGTTCAAATTCTAAGAAGTAATATAGGTAGAAGGAGAGAGAGAGAGGTTAATAACTGAATCCTTGTACGATTTGTGACTATGTCTGTCTCAAGAAAGTTATAGACAGCTATACAGTAGGACTCAAAGATCGATTTCCTGTGTTCAAACCACAACGAGTTAGTTTCGGTCGTTGCTAATAGTGAAAAGAATTATCCGACAACTACTCGACTTAGTAATTGACTTTTGTTTAAATAGATGAGATGACATTGATATAGTTCAAATATATAGACATTTAAATTAAGATGGATTCAATATGGCGGGCTTTTTTTAATATTCTATTCAATGTATCAATATATCTTGTGTAGATTGAAGTACAGGTTCAATGAAAACCCAAACAGTTGATATCACCAAAGTAACAGTCGATTTGATAACTCATTTTGAATCCATCTAAATGATGCTTACTCATTCACATTTCAATGGTTACTTGTTTGCTTTTTTTAAAATTATATTCAGAGCTGGATCAAAAAAGGATTCGAAACAGAATGATTCGTTCAACCGTCATCATTTTATTAATAGCAAGTTTTACTTGTCTTATGGCCAAGAAGTCTAATATTCCTATACAATTTACTAGTGCTGGTAAGGCTTGCATTCATCAATAACTATTATAACTTATTCTCCTTAAATTTTGATTTGTAGGGATCTGATTGGTTACAGGTCATCAGATAGAGAACCATTGGAAAACCCGGAAGTACTGTAAGACATCATTTACTCGCCTATGAGATTGGATGGCTGCTGAGCTATATATATCCCAATTCGACAGAAGTTGGAATTCATCGGCTGGTCATTAGATCGTGGTTGAGCTAGCCTTGTAACCTGAAGGCCCTGAGTTCGAACTCTGGCGGTGGATGCATGCTTATGAAGAGTCCCTAACTGGGACGAAATAGCCGCCCAGTATTCCCAGGCTTTCCAATGGTTCTTTGATTGATGTCGGCAAATGTATTTTAATAATGCAATTGATAAAATCCTCGCTTTCAAGTTTTAACTATGTATTGCACACCATTTTGTTCATCAATAAGCTCTACTACTCCTTTAGATTAGTAGTATGTATAAAAATTTGTCAAAATTTTGGACAAAAGCGAAAGTATTCTGGCAAACAGAATTATTACTATTATTATTCCCTTGGGTTCTTAGTGGAACATGGGCCTGCAGCAGTACACCTCCTCTTTAGTTGGTCCCATGATAGCCCCATAGGCTCTCATCTTTTCATGTCACCATAGAACCCAAGCCCAACTCGACATTGCCCACTCAGGTACAACTAGAAGTTTGGCCTGGAGCGTATTGTCATTTGATGGTTTCCTAACTGTGCATCCAATCCACCTCCACCATTTTCTGCCAAATATTTCTTCAGTAACAGGTTCATGCTTGTTTCGCTGCCAGATTTCCTTTTTCAGCTGACCATCTGATCTCCAACGTAGAGCCAGCGAAGGTGGCAGTTGTTTAAAAAGTCTAATGTCTGTTGGAAATGCTTTCTGTGACGTGTACGCGAAATATCCGAACCACATACATGAAGTGAGTTGTTTGAAATTAGTACTTGCTGTTTCAAGTTTACTTGAAGTCCTGTCTTCGCCTCCTGTCTCTTCTACTAACTCGTTGGTATTCGCTTGTAGGTCATCGGGGTTTTTATATGACATTAAACATAAATCACTCAAGAAGTCCATATCCTTTCACAATCTTTTCCTTGGGCCAATGTTTTTAGTGTGGTTATGTTCTCTGAGCTAGCTGTATGGTTTTTTTATTTGCGTAGCTCTCATTGCCCTCTACTAGACGCACGTCTTCAGTGTATACTTCAATTTGAATTGAAGTGAGCTTTTAGATTTCCCCACGAGGTTATTAGTCATCTCTCCTGATGGGTGACCTTGAAAGTGATTGGTTGCTTTTGTGTGTTTTCACACCTTCTAGGCTACGTGTATTGGTATTGGTGTTGATTGTTACTTTGACTTGAACTTTAAACCTTTGTTTGTGAGATTTCTTTCTTATCGGTTGGTAAATTTTGTCTGTGTCGATGTGTCTATTGATTGACGATTCACTTGAATACCAGGCTGGCTTCTAAAAATTCTCTAGCATTCTTGGTGTTTCCTCTGTGTAATATTTGAACGCTGGTTGTCCCAGTTGAATTGATGTCCGTGGTTGTCTGTATGTAGTGAGTGATATGAGAGAGGGAGTGGATGTCATGTCTTTTGACGGCTAGTTTATGATCATGGATACGAAGACGAAAGGGACATCTGATAAGAAGGAAACCTCACACACAAAGGGTGAAAGTTCAAGTCAAGGAAACAATTAACACCAGTGCCAATACAAGTAGCCTAAAGGATGTGAAAACACACAAAAACAACCAAAGAGTCACGTTCAAGGTCATCCACCAGAAGAGATGACTAATAAATTCGTGGAGAAATCAAAAAGCTCACTTCAATTCAAATTGAAGTATGCGCTGAAGATATGAGCCTAGTAAGGGGGGGGGTGATGAAAGCTTGGCAAATAAACCATCCACCTAGCTCAGAGAACATAACCACATCAAATTCATCCACCTGAGCTACAAATCTTCTCCATCATATCTAAATCTTGGACCAATGTATTTCTATTCTCTCCCATCGCATTATCTGACGTATGACCTAGTCTGCTAAATTCAAGAATATCACAGGTGACAGCAGACTGACAGCCTTATCTTACGCCTGTCATCTCTTCACCGGGCTTCGTTAAGCCTTCCACTGTCGAAGTTATCAGTGTTACGAATAGTTAACGAGAGTAAAATTCATTAAAACTTAGTGATATATTCCTCATTTCTTTTTTTCTTCTTTTTCTACTGTATTTTATCAGGTCAAATGTATATTGAATATCAAAAACTGGACTTCTTCTTGAATCAAAATTTATCCTTATCCATTAAAGATGATATCTGCGCAACAATTATTGATTTTACACGACCTACACCAGAAGAGATTAAAACAAAAACTGGTCATCGTAATGTAACTGAGTAAGTGTAATAAACAATCATTAATATTCATGGTATTTATTATTATTATTCCATGGGTTCCTAGTGGAACATAGGGCTTCAACTGCACGTCTCCACTTGGTTCTGTCTTCTGCTGTACTTTTCACCTCCATCCATGTTAGTCCATACTGTTTCAACTCCTCTTCACACGATCTCCTCCATGTCACCCTTGCACGTCCCACTCACCGCTTCCCCTTCGGGTTCCACTCGAGCACTGGCCTGACTCACGATGTCACCCAACGGCCCCCTCAGCGAGTTTCCAATCCATCTCCACTTTCTCCTGCATATTTGTTGGGCGATTGGTTCTCGTTTTGTTTGTTCCCACAGTTTCTTGTTTGTGATCCTTTCCGGCCATCTGATCGTCAGTGTAGAATGAAGACAGTTGTTGATAAAGGTCTGCAACAGGCTGTTGAAAATATTCTTGGTGACCCGCCAAGTTTCTGATCCGTATAGAAGAACTGACTGACTTGACGTTTGTATTGAAAATACGAATTTTGTTGTTGATGCTGAGTTGTTTGACGAAGATTTCCAGATTGGTTTCAGGTTGATGAATGTGTTTCTCGCCTTCCCGATTCTCGATTTGACATCCTCGTCCGTTCCTTCCATAGTTGAGACAGTGCTCCCTAGATAAGTGAATGAAGTAACCTCTTTCAAATCCATCCCGTTGATGGTGATTGGCGGTATTGAAGGTATTTAACACGATATTATCCAGTCAATGCTGGTTAGCAATGAAAATCAAGCGACTTGTCAACTGGATGTATTTGCATTCCTAGTCAGTGATAGTGTTTCCACAGACACTCAAAACCAATGCCAATCACTTCGAAGACATGACGGTTATCCACCAGGCTATGAGGGTCACTTCGTCTACAAACAGTACCAATTGTTAATGGTTAATTTTGTTAGTTTTGTATCTCCCGGTCGACTGGTGTTTATTGGAAACATTGATTTCCTGATTTGAATTTAAAACAAGCAACAAATATTGTTAATAAAGCAGGATTTAATGAATTCATCAAATTTCCGTAGAAGTACGCCTCATCTGAATACTCTACATTCAGGGATGTATATGACCACCATTTCCTTCTGTACACAGAGACCTGGTTTATAAACTGCAGATGCACAAGCCTCCTTCTCAGTTGCAAGCATCTTCCTGTTTCTTTGTCTGCTGAAAACAGTGAGTGACTTGAAAGCGTCGATGTCATGAACGTAGTCCACAAGATGCTTTGTTAGTGAACGTTTCAGTACCTTGGCAAATACTCCCATCATGCGAGCAGACAATCGCCCTTCTGTACGACCTATGTGTCTGCTTCCACAAACACACTTAAATTGATATACACAGTTTGAAATGTCATCGATTGGTGAATACTGGTCTTTCCCGGATTGCTGAAGCACTCACTTGGTTGTGTTAAGGAAGACCAGTTTAGTAGCGAAATGAGTTCTCCTGATATCTTTATCAAGTCTTCTTCTGACTACTTCTTGTACATCATCTCCTTTGAATGGAAAACTGATATTATACAGATTTTCTTTGGAACTGTTTGGATAGCGCTACCGGGGTTTAAATTTTTAAAGTTACTTATCGATGAACCTCCCAGGATATCCGATCTTAGATAAAATATCCTTCAGAGTGTTTATTTCATGTTCAAATGTCATGTCAGAACAAACTCTCCGTACTCTATTGAACGGTGTTCTGACTAAGTTCTTTTCATATTGAAATGGAACAAAACTTTAAAAAAAAAAAATTATGAATGGGATAGCTCTATCGAAATTTGATGTTTACTGGAATGAAATACTCAGCCTCTGTTGTCGTACCACCTCCTATACAGCTGCTTCCATGATGCTTAAAGGTTAACATGTAGTTATTTAGATGACCGAGCATTTCAATCAAATAAACATCAGTCAACCTGGAAATGCAAAACAAATTGAAACAAATAATATTCCCAAGCAAAATACTAAGCCGCATCATCCTGGAGAGAATCAAACATGCCAACCTGGATGAAAAACTTCGACCGGAACAGGCTGAATTCAGGAGAAACAAGTCATGCATTGATCAGATCGCCACATTACGGATCATCATTGAACAAAGCTTGGAATGCCAGTCACCTCTTCATCTCAACTTCATCGACTTTGAAAAGGCCTTTGACAGCGTCGATCGAGAGGTGATTTGGAAACTACTACGCTACTATGAAGTGCCACCGACAATTATACATCTCATCCAACAGCTGTACGACATTGCTACATGCCAAGTAATCCACAACGGGAAACCTACGGAACCCTTCGAAGTGAGGACAGGAGTAAGACAAGGCTGCCTACTATCGCCAATGATTTTCCTGATTGCAGTAGACTGAATAATGCGACAAACAGCGGACAATGAGGAAACAGGCATAAAATGGACTCACACAAAAAGAGACTTGGAGGATCTGGACTTCGCCGATGATATATGTCTGATTTCCCACAAACTGGAAGATATGCAAGAGAAAAGCAACAAGTTGGCAGAAGAAGCATCTAAGATAGGACTTCTGGTGAACATAGAGAAAACAGAGGTGATGAAGATTCCTGGGAAACACCACCAACAGCAACAACAACAACTGACAACAATCAGCATAAATGGGAGGAACCTGAAAGAAACAACCTCTTTTACCTACCTGGGAAGCATCGTTTCAACTACAGGCGGAACCGACGAGGATATCAAAGCAAGAATCGGAAAAGCAAGACAAGCTTTCACTGCTCTCAAGTCTGTGTGGAGGTCAACAGCACTCAGCATCAAAAATAAGATCCGGATTTTCAACTCCAATGTGAAGTCAGTGCTACTCACTATACGGATGAGAGACTTGGCGCGTCATGAAGAGCACGTCAAACAAACTACAGACCTTCATCGACAGTTGTCTTCGCTCAGTACTCAAGATCAGATGGCCGGCCAGGAAAGATTAGCAACAGGGATCTCTGGGAGCGAACCAACCAGGAACCGATTGTGAAACAAATAGGCAGGAAGAAATGGAGATGGATTGGCCATACTCTGAGGAAACCATCAAGTGAGTGACATCACTAGACCATCCCTTGATTGGAACCCCAACTGGAAGCGGTGAGTTGGTCGTCAGTGCAAGGGTGACTTGGAGGAGGTCATGTGAAGAGGAGATGAAAACGTGTGGGCAGACATGGAGCCAGGTGAAGACTCTAGCAGAGAGCCGAACTCAATGGAGACGCACGGCTGAAGCCCTATGTTCCTCTAGGAATTAAAGGAAACAATAATAATAATATTGAAAATTACATATATCATTTTTTACGAGTTGATCACGGACTGATATCAGTTAGAGAACCATTGAAAACCAGGGAGTACTGGACAGCTGCTGTTTCATCCTAGTTTGTGAATCATCGGCAGTACGCACGCGACCCCAACTTTTGTCGTTGGTGGGACATCCATCACGAATTGGTAGAAGTTAGAATTCATGAGCCATTGAATCGGGTCCCAGTGGCTGAATGGTATACGAGTTTGCCTTGTAACCGGAAGGTCCTGGGTTCGAATCCCAGTGGGTGCGTACTGCCGATGATCCCCAAAATAGGATGAAACAGCAGCTGTCCAGTACTCCCTGGTTTTCAATGGTTCTCTAACTGATATCAGTCCGTGATCAACTCGTAAAACATAACTAATCCTTACAAACCAAACTATAGAAAAACATACATCATTATTGGTTTGAAGGGATTTGATTGGTCTCAGTTTCGATCACAAATTGGCGAGGTTGTCTGAAGTCCTTCCAGGGAGTTGTGATCACAAGGGTCCACCGAATCGGGTGTGTGGACAGATATTAATTTGTGACATTTGCTGGAGGTCGCGTTATATCGTAAACTGGTAAAAGTTAGAATTGATAAGCCATAGTATTCTGTTCCAGTAGCTGAAAGTTCTGAGAGCTCAACAACCTGAAGGTTCTGGGCTCGATCCCTGGTAGAGACGTCATGGATGAGTAATTTTGAAGAGTTTCAAGAAGGGACGAAACAGCTGTCCACTACTCCCTGGTTTTCATTCTTCCTCTGATTGAAATCAATTCATGATTAAAATTGAGGATGACTTTCGCCAATCTCTTGTATGAGTTTAAATGTCTGTCAACAACAATATCATTGAGTTGACCTAGAGACACACCAATCACCCTCCCAATAGGTTTTGTCAACCAATTCAGTGTAAAACATCTTTCTTAAGTAGATCAGGAAAGATTAAAGATGAGAAATAAAGAAAGAATAGGCAAAATGCAAGATGTGACTACCACAAAACAACCAGCTTCAGGTAATTCTATTCTACTTTACTGCTCCCCGTTAGTCTTTCCTGGTCTACTGAAAAAGGACTATACCATCCTGAGAAGGATGTTGAAGGTAGTCAGTAGGACTAGTGGTGTAAAACTCAGTCAGCTCGTCACTACTTTAGTTAACAGGCATCTGAATACATGCGAAAAAGGGTCAAAAACCATACTCCCCGACCCCCAACACCCCCTCTATTCCCAACTCTCACCTTGTATCTCATCAAGTAAAACCAGAAATCAGTATAAAATAATCTATGCTCGTACAACCAAGTACAGGAACTCAACCATACCATACTTGGCCCGTGTTCTAAGTGACAGAGACAATGTTAAGCGCGAAACCTATGACTTGCTTTGTTGTTAACAATATGATTTTAGGCTCTTTTATTTCTCTCTTATTTCGTATTCTATAGCGAACTCCTTCTTAAACATACTTAGCTACCTAAATTATTAACATTGGCTTCCTTTTTTGTACTTTACTGTATTCCTTCTTTTGTGTATCTACTAGTTCCGAATACACTAGCACTATGAGCATTACAAAATTGTCCTGTCATTAACCATCAAGTAATTATTAGTTTTGTGGTTGTTGTTTTCTTGTTTTGTTCGGTAATATTAACTGACAATCACTGGTTGTGAACGCCATTATCACCACCTTAAAATTTTGTATTATGCAGGATTACTCACACTTCCACTACAAAATCTACAT